CCACCGCTCGGCCAGACCTATACTTCCGGAGAGCAAGAATCTGGTGTGTGCGCAGGACCGAGGGGGGGAGAGGGGGGGGGGGTGGGGGGGGGGGGTACACCCTCACCCTCCAGTCTGATTCCGACCCGCTGACAGTTATTTCTTGGCATTTTAGTAATAGAGATAATTTCTTCATTTATAATATCCGAGGCAGAGATGCGCTCTGACACCCCCCCCCCCCCCCCCCCAACCCCCCACCCATCAGTCTCATGTATGATGACGTCACAGTGTCGCAACTTTCCAGCTGAATGAGCGCATGTTGGTGTTTTCCACAGAGCTGGCGACGAACGGCAGCGGAGCCGCGGGCTCGGTGATCAGCGGCCGCGCGGACACGCGCTTCGAGAGCGGAGACAGCAGCTGCGAGGACAGCGGCTCCCCCACCGCAGCCTCCGAGCCCCGCAAGGACGGCAGCCCCGCCAAAAAGAGCAAAGCCGTGACGAAAAAGAAGACGCGCACGATTTTCTCCAAGAGACAGATCTTCCAGCTGGAGTCCACCTTCGACATGAAGCGCTACCTGAGCAGCGCGGAGCGCGCGTGCCTCGCCAGCTCCCTGCAGCTCACAGAGACCCAGGTCAAAATCTGGTTCCAGAACCGAAGGAATAAGTTGAAACGGCAGATCTCCACGGAAATGGACGGGGGGAGTGATTTTTCCGACAGTGGGAAGGCCGGGGCGGGGGGGCCGCTGCCCGCCCTGTACAAGGAGAGCAGCCTGCTGGGCAGATGCCTGGTGCCCGTGCCGCTGCCCGTGGTGTACCCGGGGGGCGGCGCGCCCTACCTCTGCTTCTCCAACGCCAGCAAGTACTTCAGCCTGTACGAGGGGGACGCATGATGCTTCCGGGCCGCTGGGACTCACTTCCGGTGATTTGTTGCCAAGTTTGGAGCGTTTCATGGAGCAGCCGAAAGTTTTTATGAACTCTGCAGAAACTTGTTTTTATACAAACAGACAGTATTATTTATTTTCATTCCAAGTTATGGATTTTGTACAGGCCGGACATTAAACCTTTGTTTTGTCGAAAACAAAAGAAAACGAGGCCGAAAACATATTTTACACTTTATTTCTAGTATTTTATTCTTATTTTATCATGAACAGCAGCATAAGCCACCAAAGAAATTACCATAGCCTATCTGCATGCTTTTCTGTATCATATTTTTTTTATTATTGTAATTATGTATTTAAATGAATGTAATTAACATTTATTTTTGTTTCATGCATGTTATATTTTTTGAGTATTTTACTTTTCTTATTCCACTTTGCCAAGAGGCTCATTACACCTTTTACTCAAACTGTAAAGGTTTTAAAGAATTGTTTCAGTATCTCTGAGGGAAAAATAATCTTTGACTCAGAACGTTTATTATTATTCTTACACTAAATTGCAAATGAAATGGATCCAGTGTATGTTTGATTTTTTCTTTTTTTAATAGTCCCTTGCATGTTGTGATACGTGCATAAAAATAGAAGCGAAGGCAAAAATAGTGACCTAAACATTTATTTTGAGTGACAGGATAATCTCATAATCAGGCCCACTTTGTTGCATTTTTCCCTGCAAAATGCCTCAACAACAAGCATATTATATTATAAAAATTACGTTCTAAATAGTAAAATTAATAACAGTAATAATATTTATGGTTGTAAAAAGTGTAAAAAAAATCAACATTTGCAATTTCAATGAAGCTCAATGTTCTGAAATTATTAAATTGTATTATACAATAATCCAGTCTAAGGGGAAAAATGGATAAAGTAGTGGACTGTAATATATCTGCATAAAAAATATGAGTTATTCTCAAAAATAAGATAACGTTTGTTTATATTTCAGGTTATTTAAGCATAATCTTGAAGTGCCATATTTATGTTGTCTTCCATAAAAACAGTTCCACATCAAGTCAAGACACGAGACTCGTCTGCTAATAAATTTCTCTAAATGCGTCTGGATGCAGCAATTATCCCTGCATGTATGAATTATGCAACGTGCCATGTCAGAAGAGGAATACGATTAATTCTTTACCTGCGCTTTGGAAATGAGTATTCTGGGAAACCCTGATTGATGCAGGGAGTGGCTGATGCAGACAGAAGGGTTTGACTGAGAGGAGAGAGGATATTTAAACCCCTGCACCTCCTCAGGGGTCAGCGTTATATTACAGAACAATTTATAATCAAAAGAAATATTAACTTTTGGTTCAATATAATACAAACTCATTTACCCAAGTTATTAGTTTTTCTCCCTTTTTAGTTACATTTTATTGCACTTGATCTTTTTGTGGAATATTAAATTATTATACATTTGAACCTGTATTGATTAATCAAATTCAGTTTAACAGTTAATAATATAAATAAAACAAGTGCACTAAAAACTAAAGAGGATCAGAATATAAGTATATGTGAATAGTGATACAACTGATACAGGTAAATAATATTTTTGGGTGAAATTCCCATAAAGTCAAAACACTTCTGAGCACTTTATTCCACATATTTACTGTTGGAGCTTCATGTCTTGTCTTTGAATTCTTTCTTGTTCATTTGTGAACACGAAACATGATTTTTTTTTATTATTATTTTTTACTCACATGTGTAGGAAATCCATTATTTTATTTTGTCATTTTAAAGTTTAACAGGAAGACAGGATTTCCAATAAACAAAATAAAAATTTAAATGAAGGGAGGAAAGAAACAACAAAATTGACGCAACTATTGCATTGAAACAAAATGTATTCAGAATACTCATCAAAGGAAAAAAGTATTTTTTCTACTTGTTTTATGCATTTGCAAGGGTTGCAGTGACTGATTTGATTAATATTAAACTTTGACCCTACTGACATAACTAACTTTTACGTTAGCGCTTTTGCCTTTAACAGTCACATTTTTGGACACACCGAGTCAAAATAATTATGAACTTTTTCATTTCACAAATGTAAAAGCATTTAATGTAAATACAACAAAAACTAAAAACAAAAAAGAGAACACTATATGTTCATTAACAAGCAAGACGATAATTATGATAACAGAGTTTGTTTGCAAGCCTTGAGCGCTAGATTTTATAGATTTACTAAAGAAAAGAGGCCAGGCAAGTCGTGCAGACAATCTCACGTTTCAGAGACGTAAAGAAGTCCCGCCACTGCTCACTACCCACAACCCCAAGCGGCTGACTACTCAGACACGATGGCAGACAGTCCAGACCCAAGGTGTGGCAGAATGGTTATCATCTACATTTATCTTGTTAATGGAGTAGATCTCACTACAGCATCTTAAAAGCACTCATCCTCAATATTTAGCTTGCAGAGACTGAGGTCGATGTTTTATGTCGCAGCCTGATTTATTTAAGTTCACACTCAAAAATGCACTGATTCACCACGGTACTTCTTGTAAAGAGTGCTAATTGCTTCTAAAGCTCCGCTCTGTTCATTCCGTCTCTCCTTCCTCTCTTTTCCATTCTTACTGTGCTTCTCTCTCGCCTCCTGCCTTGTCATGGCTCATTATAGTAATGTGTGCACCGAAGCCTGACTGTGTTGATCATGACTGAATGAAGGGGACTGAGGAGGAGGAAAGAGTGTTATTGGGGAGAGGGAGAGGTTGCAAAGAACCAGTTGATGAGTGAGTGTTTGTGTTGGAAAAAACTACGATCCAGTTGATAATCTGTGCACCACTTGGCTGGTCAGAAGGAGGGAGGTGCGGCTCCTGTAAGGTGGAGCGTAGCTCCAAGCGTGTCTGTGGGAGCCCTTTTTCTGCATGACGAGATGGGAGCTCCTCGCCCAGTTCACCCATTCCTTTAACCTCTTGTGACCTCTGCCCATTATCTGATAAAGGTCACCGCTCAAGATGATGGGACAGACAGTCTCTGAACACTCTGTGTGACAAGCTGCTGGTGCACATTAGACAGATATTTTTATTTCATAAACGTTCTAGAACAGCTTTAAAAAAAATTGAAATAAAAACCTGAAAAATATATATACAAGCACCTAAAGGCCAAGTATTATTTAAAGGAATGCATATCACCGGATGCTTTCATGCCAATCTTTAGTTAAGAGTTAGGTTGTTTTTTTTTTTTTTTTTTTTACGTTTATGCTAAATGTCTTAAATTGATAAAATTTCACCTTTTAATAATTGTATCTGTTGGCTAATTTGGATTAGCAGTTAGTTAAAAAAATAAAACACTTAAGTTATTTATGTGTGCTTTCCTTTTGTGTTGTGGTCTCAGGGCCATAACAACTTTGGGGGCTCGTCCGGGATTCAAATCCAGGATCTTTCATGTGCAAAGAAAGAATCATATTCTTACGTGTAAGTGATGTTGGTGCAGGTGTGGTGTTTTTACAGGAGGATGCATATGGCATTGACAGGCTTGAGTTCCTTTTCAAAAATGTTCTACAGGCCCAAACTAAATTAGAGATAGAGAAAGATGCTTTAGCTTTGATATGGTTTTTGCAACACTTTGAAGTGTATGTAGGTTCAGGGATTTTGGGTTGTGTGCATGGACCATAAACTTTATTATGTTCTTTCCACAGTCCAAATAGGAGACTTGTTATATGCTCTTTTTTTGCTGTAAGCTTTTTCATTGGACACCTGACACATTAAAAGTAAGGGTCATTGTAAAAATTTGTGATTGACTCTGAAATTATTTTTAGGGCACTAGTTGCTGACGTGAACTGAGAACTTCAAAAGAGGTGGGTGTAAGTAAGTGCTGGAATCACAAGAAGTTGTGGGGTTCTTGCACTGCAGTGGTTTTGGTAAGAAACAGTCATGAACACACATCATCAAACACATTATCCGCTTTTGCCTTTTAGAGCCAAGCAACAAAAATATGCTGAATCAACCAAAAACCAACACATAAAACACACAAATAACAAAAAAGTGTAATTGTGGTTGTGTATTTCTGCTATAATTGTCACTAAATTGCCTTTGTTTGAACACCCATGGGGGTCTCATCACACTGTAGGGGAATCTGAGACTAAATCTGCCCAACACAACACACCATACAATCTAAATTAAGGCTATTAGTTATAGGTGGAAATTTGAGTCTTTCTGTGTGTGTGTAACACTTTAGAACCGTTGGAAGACCTATTGATCGATGTGTTTAGACCCCTGCTCCCCTCCTCCCATCCATTCGCCCCGCCTCAGATACATAATGTAAATTGCCTGAGGAAATTGAAAGATGCTAGTGGGGATGAAATCCAATAAAAGAAAGTGAAACAGAGACAGCGATAAAAGTGCAGGGAGGAGCGAAGATGAGAGCAAATTGAACCATGTCCACATTGTCAAACTATTTTTAATAATTTAATAAGAAAATTTACCTTACAGTTTGCGTGAGTGGACAATTCTGTTTTATCTTTGTGTTTTAATGTAGTAATCAATAATAAAAGTTTGAAATATCTTTGTTCCTGGGACAGAATCTTGTCTGGAATAACAAGAATGCATGTCCTCTGCCTTATTGCATGTCAGTGCCTTAAAAAACAACCTGTTAGTGTTGCCATGTATTTTTGGAACAAGCATCTGCTCACTAGCGTCACAGGGTTCTGAGTCCCCCCAACTTCTCCACACACAGTAATGGTGTTACATGAACCTTTTTTAAAAAATGAAAAAACAAAATTACAGCTGAACTTGTGAGGGAAAATTTATATTAGAAAATACAGCAATTCTATTCAACTCAGTTTATTTATACAACACCAAGTCACAACAGAAGTTGTCTCAGGACACTGAACAGAAATATTCATGTATAAAATAATAATTGAACATTATTTATCTGAAGAGCAGATTTGAATTTAACTCCATCACAGAACTCTCACCTTGAGCAAGCATGAAGGCGACAGTGGAAAGGAAAAACTACCTCATGAGGAAGAAACCTTTAGCAGAACCAGGATCAGGACAAGCGTCCATCTGCTTCGACCAGATGGGTTTGGTAGGAATAGATACACAATGGCAGGTGAAGAATCACATGTTAAGATAGGTATTGTATCAAATGAAAACTATTCAATTTTAACAATTCATTTAAGGAGATGAGGTCAATTTGTCCTCTAGTAGTCTAAGTCTATAGCAGCATAACAAGTCGACCCTAACTA